ATGATCACATAGAATCCGATCTTAAAGTGTAACTGGGCTTACGTTTTAGGGTTTTACTAATGGGCTACAAAACGAAATTACCCTCAAAATAGCGGGCTCTAGCCCATGTTCGAATTATCTCAATCCTTCCTAGAACTTTTTGGCACATGTCACACTCTCATTGATTTGACCACATGTCATTTTGTGGTTATTTTCAATTAATGTTTTTCCACATGACATTTTGTGGTTTTTTTCATTTTATTAATTTTCACATAATATTTAAATTTAATAATTTCAATAAATGTAATAATAAATGCATCAATTTTATTAATTGACTTACTTTTATTTTCAAATTTTCTAAATTAAGTTTCATTAATTTCCTTTGTTTATTTATCTAAATTATTTTTTTAATTTAAAAGAAAAACAAACAATTTAATTTTAAAAATTCAATATTTTTCTATTTTTTCCTTATAAATTCAAACTTCTCAAATGTTTAGAATTTCATTATTTTTTCTTTAAAATGAACTCATGTAATACATGGGTCTTACACCTAGTTTCTAATAAATAAATAGGTTGAATCTTCTTTTGACACGTGTCACTTAAATACAATTCTTCTTCCACATATCAAGGAGATATATTAGGCAACACTTCAAAATTCAAATTTACTTTTTCTAATTATATGTTAAATTTGAAATTATAATAATTTTAAAATTTTGATATATCTCTTAGTTAATAATTTATTTAAAATAATTGATTTATAATTATAGATTTTTACTATGAAAGTTGAATTAATTTTATAACTCGTGGTTCCCACGGGTTATAAACTAGTATTCGAATAAATTATAAAACTCCATTTGCAAATAATGTTCAAATACTTATTCAAGATTAATATAGGTTATCGGGTTGTTATGGTTTGACCTACAAAGTCAAAATAATGAATATGTGTGAAATAATTAATAGTATTTGTTAAGTGTTTCGAGTATTGGGTGAACTGATATATAACTAAAATTTAAAGTCATGGTTATTATGAAAATAATTAATGTAGTTGTAAATATTTAAATGGAATTACAAATTTTAAGTTAGTGTATTATTCTATATTTTAGGCCAAGTCTCAGATATTAGAAAGACGATTTATATTATTCAAGTGGAACGAATTTTTATCAAAAAGGATCTACTTATAGGACATACATGGTCAAAGGGTTCGATGTTGAAGAGTAGCAAGGTCTGTAAGTGTTTAAGAAAACATCGGCTAGTGCCCTAGTGGCTATCAGCTGATCATTAACTGAAGTGTACATAAAGCCTGCAATTTATCAACATATAAGCTACTAATGAAGACAACAATTGACCATTTACCAAGTGCTGATGGAGTACATGCTAACATCTACTTAGCTTCTACCGAGGAGAACATTTCTTGGTGTGAGTAGTGCCTCATTAGGCCACTCAGAGTGGCTTCGGCAAGCACCTCGGCTAGCTCGGCGAACACCGGGCCGAGTCCTCGGCATGCCAAGCTGAGCTCGGCAACTCGGCTAATAGTTACCGATGAGAGAGAGTGTATTGGGTTAAATGTTTGTGAACGTTGGAGGGTCCTTGTGACCGTTTTTTAAATTTTTTTTTCAAAAAATCATCCATTTTTACCCAATATAAATAACACTATCTCTTATATTTTATCCCACTTCACCATATTCATATTTTCACTCAACAGTACAATTTTTGTGAAAAAAATGTCTTTCCCTTTCAACCCAAAAGTTCAAAAAAATACAAAATAATAATAATAATAAAAAAAACACCCAAAACCTAAACATCTCATCTTCTTTAGCAAATTTCGTTCAAAATCAAAGCGATCAGCCAATTTATTCTCCACCAAATTTACACTTTGGTGGTGTTTACTACCCATTTCAAACCCAAACCAACCTCAATACCAAAATCAAGCACAATACCAAAACAACCTCGATTCCAAAATCATCCATAATTTCAAAGACAACTCAAAATTTCAAAACCAACCACAAATGAACTTCTCATCCCAAATGAAAACCGACTTCAATCCCTTTGATGATCTCCCCGACTCCCCAATGAATTTCCAAAGCTAATTCCAAACTCAATGGGAACCTGAAGTCGTCCCCGAAACGAAATCGGAGCCAGAAGAGAATACAACACAACCCCAAAAAAGTGGAAGGGCGGCTCCAAAACAATGGACACCGGCCGAAGAAAATGCGTTAGCTCTTGCGTGGATGGATGTTATGAAGATCTGGTGGTCGGAAACAACCAAGATTGTCCAATTTTTTCCAAAAATTACACACTGTATTCTCATAGAGGTGAATCTTAAAGAGTACCGGGGGGGGGGGCAGTGGTGGTGTCGATGATGGCGACGGTAGTGGCGGCGACAGGGGGTGGTGACGGTGGTGGTGATGACAGGTGGTGGTGGTGGCAGCGCCAACTGTGGCAGTGGTGGTGATGGTGGTTGTGGCAGTGATGGCGTCAATGGTGGTGATGGTGCTAGTGATGGGGTAGTGGTGGTGGTGATGATGATGGTAGGTCGGTGATTGTGGTAGTGGTGTTAGGTGGGTGGGGGTGTGCGTGTTTGTGGGGGTGGGTGTGGATGTCGATATGGGTGTGTGGGTGTGGGTGGGGGTGGTGGGGTGTGTGTTTGTGTGTGTATGTATTTGTGGGGGTGTGAGTGTGGGTGGGGGTGGGTGTGGGCGTGTGTTTGTGGGGATGTGGGTGTGTGTATGGGTGTGGGTGTGGGTGTGTGTTTGTGGGTGTGTGTTTGTATGGGTGTGGGTGGGCGTGTGTGTTTGTGGGTGTGGGGGTGGGGTGGGGGTGGGCTTGGGAGTGGGCGGGTATGGGTAGGTAGGGGTGTGGTGGGTTGGGGGTGTTAAGGTGAGAGTAAGTCGGGTGAGAGTGAGTGTGTGTTTGTATTTTTGAAAAAAATTTGAATAAAAAAATGTGGAAAACAATGATTATCGTTTTTCCAAAAATTTCAAACCTCTTTGTAATTTTAGAAAATGAAATTTTCATTTTCCGTGAAAAATTTGGAATAAATGCGTTTTCAAAATCTTAATTTTTTTGGAAACTTTTTCCGGAAAATGGTCCATTTTTCCGCAACTAAACGCACCATAATCGTTTCCGCTGTATACTCGAGAGTCTTACATATTCCAAAATAAATAAATAAATAATAATAATAATAATAATAATAATGGATATGAATCTATCGTAAAAAAAGGGTAAATTACACCATTCGTCCCTCGTGCATATGACAGAAAGCGTGTTTAGTCCCTATTTTTAAAAATTAACTCGGACCGTCCCTGAGTTTGTTTTTTCTTTCACGCTTAGTCCCTATTAACATGAAATGACTATTTTACCCCTAATAATTTGTTTTATCATTTTCTTTTATTTATTTGTTAGTTTTAAATTAAAATAAATAAATAAATAAAACAATTCATCCCCACCATTCCCTCTCCCATTTCCCAGCTCCTTCGTCTACCTTTTTCTTACATTCCTTTCACCAAGATCATCAAGCTTCTTACATTACCTTCACCAAGATCATCAAGCAGTATGAAATCATACCAAAAAACCATCAAACTCAAACCTAAATGAAATCATCTTAATTTTATGAAATCTGAAACCCAAACAAACCAAAATCGATAATCAACATCATTTCGAGATGAAATCCCCAAACCTAAATTCGTAATGAAGCAACCAAAATATGTCATGAAATTCCTCGATTAATGCCCTAGATTGTTGAACTTCGACATACATCAAAACTTCGGAGACGATGACTGAAAGGAATGATGGAGGTATGTCGGCCACCGAGAGGAATGAACATCATCTTCTTCACCGCCACAATACGTGCGACTGTTTGGACAGTTGTCGGAGGTTTCTGGCGATGGAAATGTCCTAGTGATCGAAATCCCACTAGTCATCCCCTATTGACAAACACACCCATGCTTACTCCTTATCCCACTCTCTTTTCCGATCATCGTTAAGATGTTAATCCACCACCGATCTCCTCCCAAAAAACTCAGACCACAACCACCGATCTACAGCTTGTGTGGTTTTTTTCTTGTTTTCTCGATTAGTAATACAGTGAAAGCGGTGGGGAAGGTTCGTCGGAGAAGTGGAAGCGATGATGGTAGCCGGTGACTGGCCAATGAGTTAAAGGTCTCTGTTTTCCCTCTCATCGATTTGATATGCGTGTGTGTTTTCTACGATTATGGACGGTAGGGAAAGTAAAGAGGCGTTTATTATTTATTTTTTAATTTTTAATTGAAACCTATAATAAAAGCATTAAATTAATTGAAAAATAAAAATACAAAGGGTATTTTGGTCATTTCAAACTTGACATGGACTAAATTCGCAACAAAATCGGCTTTCAGGGATTAAGCGTGCAAGGTTAAATAAAACGAGGGACGGTCCGAGTTAATTTTTGAAAATAGGGACTAAACACGCTTTTTGACATATGCACGAGGGACGATCGGTAATTTACGTTAAAAAAAAATGAAATCACCAAGATTGGATAAGACAAAAGGGTGTGGGGAACAAATAATATAAGTTTTATCTAAAGAAAATCAATCCATATTAAATAATATTTTGACATGTGTCAAATCATGGATAAAATCTAATCTGATATTTCACTCAAAAGAAAAGAAATATTTGAACGTCTTCCACCTAACTTATCAGATCAATAACTGCCATTGGGATAAACTAAAAAACCATACATTACTTTCGATAAATACAAACCGTTGAAATAAATCATACGTCACAGTTATATATTTTAATAATAAAGTCAAATTACGGTTTGTTATTAGGTATGTATTTAATATTTGTTTATTACAATATGGAATCACAATTAGTGCTAGGTCCCTCATATAGAACCCCAAAATCCAACCAAACAAAGCTTCACCTTCCATGACATTAATTCAAGGCATGATTCAACACACACACACATATATATATTGTATGTATACATGTAAATTCTCCCATGCCACATATTGTCCACCGCATGCGACAAAAATACATACACAATGAATTATTCAGTCGAACTAATTTTGTTACTCATTTCTCTAGCATTCCTCTTCTACGTTGTAGTTGTCCGTCGATTCAAGTCCAAACAGGTAGCTGGGGAAGCTCCTGAACTCGGTGGTGCATGGCCAATCATCGGACACCTCCACCTACTTGGTGGCGGTGACCAGCTTCTCTACCGTACACTAGGAGCCATGGCAGACAAATATGGTCCAGCGTTTAATATCCGGCTCGGAACCCGTCGTGCTTTTGTGGTCAGCAGCTGGGAAGTAGCTAAAGAATGTTTCACCATTAACGACAAAGCACTAATTTCCCGGCCCAAAACCGCCGCAGTGAAGCACATGGGCTATAACTATGCGGTGTTTGGCTTCGCCCCATACACTCCCTTTTGGCGCGAAATGCGAAAGATCGCCACCCTTGAGCTCTTGTCCAACCGCCGCCTCGAAATGCTCAAAGATGTCCGTTCGTCGGAGATCAACTCTGGAATCAAAGAGCTATACGGGAGATGGGCTGAAAATGGTCGTCTGCCTGTGGCTGTCGAACTAAATAAATGGTTGGAATACATGATGTTAAACATAGTTGTGATGATGGTAGCCGGAAAGAGGTACTTCGGCGTTGGAGGTGGTGGCCATGAGGCCGACAGGTGTCAGAAAGCCATCAGCAATTTCTTCCGGTTGATTGGCATTTTCGTAGTATCTGACGCGATTCCCTTTTTTTGGTGGTTGGATTTACATGGATACGAGAAAGAGATGAAAAAAACTGCAAAGGATCTAGATTTGGTTCTTGGAGGGTGGCTCGATGAACATCGGCAAAAAAGGAAATCAGATGTAGAGAGAAATAAAGACGACGTAAAAGATTTTATCGACGTGATGTTGTCACTTGAAGACGAAGGTCAACTCTCAGGTTTCGAGCATGATTCAGATACAAGCATTAAATCTACATGCTTGGTAAGTAATTATATAACTTTATATGATGATAATTTACAAGTTAATTTCACAAGTTTATTAATTATAACACTCGAGGCATATATGCATGCATGCATAATAGGCATTGATTCTAGGAGGTAGCGACACCACAGCTGGGACGCTAACGTGGGCTATCTCATTGTTGCTAAATCATCCTGATGCTCTAAAGAAACTACAACATGAGCTAGACGATGAAGTAGGTAAAGACAGACAAGTCGAGGAATCAGACATAAAAAACCTCGTATTTCTCCAAGCTGTAATCAAAGAAACTCTGCGTCTTTATCCGGCGGGTCCGCTGCTAGGACCAAGGGAGGCGATGGAAGATTGTATGGTTTCTGGGTATAATGTGAAAGCTGGGACTCGGTTGATAGTAAACGTATGGAAGATTCAAAGGGATAATACGATTTGGACTGATCCATCTGAATTTAATCCCGAGAGGTTTATGGGTGTTGAGTATGAACATGTTGACCTCAGAGGACAACAATTTGTGCTCATGCCATTCGGGTCGGGTCGACGTTCTTGCCCCGGGGCTACGTTTGGGCTTCAAGTGCTTCATTTGACTTTGGCTCGTCTTCTTCATTCGTTTCATTTGGATCTTCCCGGAGGTCTTCCGGTGAATATGACTGAGAGCCCTGGAATGACTATTCCTAAAAAGATGCCGTTGGAGGTGCTTTTGACCCCACGCCTTCCATCGGAGCTCTATGCTTAGTTGTAAAGCATTATGTTGCTTTATGTTTTGTTTTCTCTTTTTGTCGTTTGAAAGAATGATATATATGAAGTGAATTAAGAATAACAAATTTCGATAACTTTCTTTGGAAGTTTATGATTCACATCCTTTGGGTCCTTGATATATTCTACTTCAAATAATTCTTGATGAAAGTTCATATTAGAACCGAAGTATAATGAAGACAGAAAACAAGAGAATCCCTGACACATATAAAATATAATTTAGGATAGGTGTGGAGTAAACAATCAATGTTACGTGTTTAGTAAACAATCTATGAAAATAAGAAAAACCGAAAAAAAAACATACTATAAAATCTTTATAGATCGTAAACAAATCATGGAAACATATTTAGAGTTGAAGATTACAAATGGAGATAAGAGATTGTGGTCTGGTGAAGTAGTGTCTTAACACAAAAATTCCTTTGTTGTTGATATACCTTGAAGATATAAAAATCTATTCAAAAGTCAATCTTGATTGTGACGGATTTCCGATGTATCCATATTTTGAAAAGAAGAAAAGAAAATATATGATGATGCATATTGGCTTGCCAAAATCTAACAAAAGGGGCTGTACAAAATATAAATAGGCATCCAATCGACAATTATTAATTGTCAAATAACTGAAATAGTAACTGGCAATACATATCTGGATGATTAATTAAAAATCACTACATAAATTAATTGGTCATTAAAAAGTAAATTCCTATTTAATGAATTAAAAATAAGATTGGAGTCTTGGACAAGACGAGTCCAATAATGAGTCAAGGCCATATCTTTGATCATCAATAAAATATTAATAAGCGTATTTTGGTTACCCAAGATTATAATCTAAGCCCATCAACCAATAGCCCATTTTAGTCCATAAAATGATTTGATTAATTTACCTTTTTTTTTTCTTTACCCTTTATTAACTCCGTTAATGTAAGACCTTTTAATTACTATTTTTTTTTATATAGCAAAATAATAATATATAACAAATCCATCCATCAGTTTGATCTTAAACTGAGACATTATCCTGTAAAATTAGTAAACCGCCTTTAACACTTTGTGATGGGGATGAACCAGAATGTTGATTGGAAAGCTATGTGAGATGTCATGGAGGTGTTGTGATGTTGGCATGTTTGTTTGAACATGATGGTATGTTGAGGGAGGCTATTGGGTTTATTGTTGTTTTTTAATATATATGGCTGTATTATATTATAATTTTTTTGTGTTTAATAACCTTTTAGTAACCTGCCATGAAGAAAAATTGTCGAATAAAGTGCCGAAAATAAACATATTCCTCATAAAATGTTACCACTTTTATTTAAAAAAAAAACAGCTTATCTTCAAATCTTCAACATAAAAATATTATGATATTAGTATACATTAGTCGAAGATTAAGATTTACGATTGAAATCGTCAATGGACGATTTGATTGACTAAGTCGAGAGGCATATATAGATTTGACCATACCTTACATGACATTGTTGACTAGTACCATTTTAAAAAAGAATTTTAATTCCCAACCAACCAATTTTCTTAGAATAAATTAGCCCTCCACCAAAGGGAACCTCGTCTCCTATAAATACTTTGATCGCACTATAGAACTGAACACCATAAACCATGTCTTTCCCTGCGATATTTACAGTACTTGCTGGCATCTTGTCTCTTATATTATTCCTCCGTTTCGTGTTTACGAGAAAGACCGGAGATGTGAAAGCACCTCCGCGAGCAGCGGGAGCGTTGCCAATAATCGGGCACCTTCATCTTCTTAGCGGCGAAGGTGGGCTGCCGCACAGAGTACTTGCATCCCTGGGCAAAAAGTACGGACCAATCTTCACTCTAAATCTTGGTGCTCATGAAGCTCTGGTAGTCAACAGTGCAGAAATGGCGAGAGAGTGCTACACCACCAACGACAAGTCGTTTGCAGACAGACCCAGATCAGCTGCAGTTGAACTGCTCGGCTACAATTTTGCGAGCTTTGGATTCGTTCCTTATGGCCCTTACTGGCGAGGCTTGAGAAAGATAGCCGTGCTTGATCTCCTTTCGCCAAGCCGTCTTCGGATGCTTTCACATGTTCGGACCTCCGAAGTGAAATTCTTGATGAGCGATCTATATAAAGTTTGGGCGGAAGGCAAAGGGTCTACGGGAAAGGTAGTCGTCGAAGAAATGGAGAAACGGTTTGAGACCCTGGTATTTAATGTGGTTCTGAGGATGATAGCAGGGAGACGATATACGACTGGTGATAAAGAAGGTGATCATGTGAAGAACACTATCAAGGATTACGTCCATGAACTGGGGACAGTGGTGGTTGGTGATGTCATTCCTTGGCTAAGATGGTTGGATTTCAGTTTCCACAGAAAGGTAAAGAAAACCGCTGAAGAATACGACGTTATTATGGAAGATTGGTTAAGGGAGCAGAGAGAAAAAATGAGTTCTGGGAAGCCTGTGGATCCCAAAGACGAGGTTTTTGTGGCATCATTGCTGACCCGTTTAAATAGCGAACAAGACAAGGATCTTTCGGTATTCGATAAAGGAACAATTGTGAAAGCTACATGCTCGGTAAGTCTTTCTTGATATATACCTATAGCTATATACATACATAATATATAAAAGTTGATGTCTTAAATGACTAATTTGTTGGTTTGTACATGTGTATGAGCAGACGATTATAGGAGGTGCAGCAGACACAACAACGGTGGCTCTAACATGGACTCTAGCTTTGCTGGTGAATCACCCTGAGGTCCTAAACAAAGCCCAAGAAGAAATCGAGACGCATGTTGGAAGGGAGAGAGTTGTGGAAGAATCAGATTTGAAGAACTTAGTCTACCTTAACGCCGTCATCAAGGAATCACTGCGTTTATACCCACCAGGTGCAATCATTGCTCCTCACCAGACCGTTGAAGACTGCATTGTGGCGGGTTACAAAGTTAAGAAAGGGACGAGACTGATGGTCAACCTTTGGAACATCCAACGTGATCCAGAGTTCTGGCCCCAACCGGAGGAGTATAAACCAGAAAGATTCTTGACGACTCAGAAGGACATTGACGTGTGGGGTCAGTCATATGAGTTCTTTCCATTCAGCAGCGGAAGAAGAACATGTCCTGGAATAGGATTAGCGGTTCAGTCTATGCAATTGACACTCGCCACATTATTGCAAGGCTTTGCTTTTGAAACTCCAACCGGAGAACCGACTGATATGAGCGAACACTACCCAGGGATGATAACCTCTAAAGCTACTCCGCTTAGCGTTCTCATCTCACCTCGATTAGCACCCGAGTTTTACAACTAAGCTAGTTTCACAAACTCTACTCCACAAATGTGTTTTCAACAACACACTTCTTTCTACGTTGGTAATAATGAATTAATGGCACGAGTTTCCCTTTTGTTCTTGCAAGGAAGCTTGTGATCGTGTGTCATAAATCTACATATATAGGTATATTGGTTTTTTTTTTTTTTGTGAAATGGAATGTAATACTCGAATTATTAAACTGTTAAACTTTGCTATTTTGAGTTTTCTAAATTTAAAAATCTTCCCTGGTGATAGCAATGTTTTCTTGATGTTTTGATATAGTACTGTTTCGATAAGCTCAAATGTTTGTTTGATGCATTGATTTCTTATTTTTATTTGAATCGACATTTTTTGTACTTTTTTTAAGGAAGCAAGATTAAGTATAATGAAGAAAGAAATATAAAATGTTGTGAGAATTTCACTATTAAAGAAGTTCTTAAACCCAAAGTCCTTACCTTATTTATGAAAAGTCATAACTTCATTATTTTGAAGAAAAAAAACATGACAAAAAATGATGAATAATTTTTACATAAAAAGACACCACAACAGCCATCATTTACATATTTAGAATCTTGGATTTCATTTGGTAATAAAAATGGTTAAATGTTGGTTTTGTTTTGGGCCCTAATTCTTCCACTGCATGATTTTATCTTTCCACGGAAAAAAAAGGTATATTGACACTTATACCCCTAATTTTTATTTATCAATATTTAAGAGAGAGAAATATCTTTTTCTTTCCAAACAACTTACCATGAATATGAATGTTTTCCTCCTTCCTTCAATTCAACAATACATTAGTACCTCTTCCACGCTTTTGGTGGACATGGCGAGTTGGCGACCTAGTTTGAGCATTTGCAAACCTCCATTTTAATAACCAATTTTTCATAAATTTTGAATAATTTCCAATATTTTTTAGAATAAATCAAAAAAGTTAATAAGCAAATCCGTTTATTAATTCCTAAACTCAAAAACACTAAGAATAAATAGTAGTTTATTGAAAAGCCCACGAAATCAAGAATTTGTTGGATAACTATGTAGGAAAAAATCAAGAACACAGGCTCAAAATGGGACAATTTTATGAGTTTTTAATTCTCTATTGGAATCTAAAATTACATTAGCCAAAACCACACTTCTACTTATATTTGAATAATGCAAATCAGTCCTGCTATGCTTAAAATAATTAGCAACAAATAAACCCACGTACACTTTCTAGAATGATGCCACTAATCCCATATTCTACATCGAACTGGGTAAAACTATGACAAATTCTTTTGCTCCAAGTTTAGAGTAAAAAACATACCGGATTAACCCAACAGAATTCACCAATGAAACCACTTCAAAATTTAAGACTTGTAACTTTGTGGAGGGATGTGGAGTGAATTTACCAAGGAAACCAGTATTTTTTGACACTCAATTCCTTTTGAAACTTACAATGCCGAATGAAGAAGATGAGCCTGCTGAAGATTGCATCGCCAAACCAGGAAGAACAAGCGTGTAATTTGGAAACAATTTTATGGGATATTTCTCTCTCTTCAATATTTGTCATTACATTAGGTTTTCAGTGGAAAAAGTAAAAGTTACAGTGAAAGAATCAGCATCTGTTTCAATTACGAGTTTCAATCTTGTCAAAATGTTGCTTGATTTGTTAATTTCCCGTTTTAATATCAATCAAGATTTTGAGTTACGTTTTTTTGTATAGAAAGGCGGGAATAAATCATGTGTCAATAAGAAATATGTAACGTGAGATATTTGTAATGAAGCAATATCCAAACTCTATATTTTTGGGTCCAAATTTCCTAGGTTTGTTAATGTGTGATACCTTTTATTCAAAGAACTACGCTTCCGACCAAATCGAGTCATTTTCTGCATTGCTTTTCTTCGTTCCTTTTTCTTTCATTTTACATATTAGTTAGATTGGTAAGGATAATTAGGAGTCTTAATTAGATTTTCAAATTTCAATTAAAAAAACCCCTTAGAAAGATGGATAGACTCAACATACATAGGTACATGAGATTCTATATAGCCAACATTATTGGACACTAAAGCTATAGCATATGAATCATCTTTTGCATTCAAATGACATAAATATCAATCATGTTCATCAACTCTGTCTCCAATTTCTTGATTTAGGCTTTTGGTAGTGGACTGACACAAACATAACAATAAGTTTTGAAATGGGATTCCAAGCAGCAATGTGCTCACGGTAGCATTACTCATGAAAGATATACCTAAACGAGCTCAAATATCAGAAATTAAACTACAATTAAGGGTGGGTTTTTTGAAATATAACTATAATAATCGATGTTACGATGAAATCGGACCATCTGAATTTTGAAATTAATTCTATCGAATTATGATAAACGGATTAAAAAAGATTTTTAGTACGCACTTATATATAAATATCGAGTAAAGATCCCCATTCCCCACTACTAAAACCTCATCTCAGCGTCTAAAACGAAATCAGAATCAATCTTCTAAGATCATCGGTCCAAATAACTACAACACGGCAAACTCCTTCAAAGATGGCATCGTTACCATTTGTTGCGTCTCCGGCGACTTCTCCGACACATTCCATACTTTCACTGATTTATCCAAACTGCCGCTATAAACCACCAACTTTCCGTCGCCGGAGCTCGACCCATCCTCCCTCTCCACCGCCAGACACTTCACCGGTCCGGTATGCCCCGTCAGCACCGACAAACAATTATGGACGTTCCCTTCTCTCTTCCACACGCATATCGTTTTATCAGCTGAGCCGCTTAACAGGAGATTTCCAGCGGATGCAAGGCAAAGCACCGCCAACTTATGGCCCTTGAGAAAACCGCCGTGAGATAACTGTTTTTCCCACTCCCAGAAGTTAACCAACCCGTCGGACAAACCACAGTACACAAAGGAACCATTTTTCGACACCGCTAACGCCGTCACTGCGCATTCTTGATTCAAAAGCGTCTCCACATGATGATGCTTCATCGTCTTACCCTTCCCTTCGCGTTTCCAGACTTTGACAGTCCCGTCCGCCGATCCGGTGAACACCAAGCCGGATTTCGTGCTGATGACTGAGTTCACAGCGTCATCGTGCGCCTTCACTGACTCTAAACATTTCGATTTCGACGTTTGCCAAACTTTGAACGTTCGATCCCACGAAGCTGAGTACAAAAGACCTTCTCCTTCTTCGATGCTAAGACAAGAAATTGCGTCGCAGTGTTTGATCCAGAGCGTGGTGCATTTACGCTTCACTTCCACGTAATTCTTCGGCCTCATCGACGTCTTCAAGACGTCGAAAAACGTCGGGAATGTACCGATACGTTTATGGTTCCTGGGATTCTTTCGGTTCTTCTTCCAAACACGAACCCTCCCGTCTTGATGGCCAGTGAAGATCTTATCGCCGGATAAAATAATAGCCTTCACCAACCCACTGTTGGATTTAAACGCTGTATACTCCTTCATGTTCCTCCACACACGGATGTTCTTGCTGTCGGATCCGGTGTAAAGTAAATCACCGGTGGCTGCAAGTGAATAAATGTGGCCTTCCTCCCGGACAATAGACCCAACGAAATCATTCTTTTGATGACCGGAGCTGTCGGCGGCACCACTCAACCAAGGAGATGACTGGAAAGGAGAAGTCTGGTTCCAGGGTGACATCGTAATGGGTGAAGCATCACAGCTCATACGGTTGGGTTCATACGAGGAGGCGTCGCTGCGACGGTTGTTACAGCCGTCTTCGTCGTCGTTGGCTGGGAAATTAGTGGAGAGGTTAGGATCAGAATTATGAACGGCGTTGTTGCTGATTTTTGGAGGTAAAGAAGGGGTTTTTTTCCTCAACGACGACATTTTAATTCTCCTTTCGTCTTCCGGCATTCAAGATTGAATTCCAAGAATTTGTTAATGATGAAATATAACGGAAGAACGAAAAAGAAAGAAAGGGTAGTGGTGGGGGGAAAAGTGAGAAAATTTGGTGAGATGAACTATAAATAGAAATAATTTAAGTTGGAGGGGTAAATGGTGAAGGAGATGATGCCACGTGGGGGTAAAAAGTAAATATTTGTGTGAGGAGGGAATTTCGGGGCTCCATACATTCTCTTTTGGGTAATTTTATTTTTGTCTGCCATTTGATCAAGATCTAATTAATGAAACATTTTGCCTTTGAACCAATCATTACTACTTTGATTATTTTCACCTTAAAAAACAATTAAAGGCTATTATTAATGTAATAAGATTCAACTAATGTTTTATCTCATGGTTATGGGGGAAATCTGAATCTTAAATTTAACAAAGGTTTTACAATGATCAATAGATTAAATAAAGTTGATGTTTTATTATTATTATTATTATTTTACAAAATAGGTGATGTAGGTTTTAGGTATATAAAGAGGCAAGCCTTATAAGAAAAGCAAACCATTAGTAGATTACCTTATATGGTGCTATAGAGACCAAAATATCTTATATTTTCGAAGGTGCACAATATCTATGCACCAAATAAATTCACATGCTAATGCTATAGTACAATTGGAATATTAAAAATGTTAGAAATTAGTCGATCTCAAACTTAACTAGATAAAAAGTTGGCTAATTTAAGAAAAACAAAAGATCGAACTATACTTGAGCTAAGTTAATATTCATGTTCTAAGGTGACCACATATTCTTATTCTGAAAATTCTTAAAAAAAAACGTATCAAATATTCATCATTGCTTACGTTGTAGAAGCAAACACTTGTGAACCTGAAGACAAAAATGGTGGAATCAAAGTTACGATATAAACTTGATTTTTTTTTTTTATTGTTTTTTTTTATTTTTTATTTATGTTCAATAGAGAAACAATTGTCATATTATCTTAAAAAGTCATCAAATATTGCTAAAATTCTGATACAATAAAACAGAATCGATAAATATTCGGCAAACTTATGGTTTGTAGGCAAGTCGAACTTGCTATCAAGCATATGAAACAAATCGCATTATGTGGGGTGACAATTGAATCCATACGGCAAACTTGATTGATCAACATTTGTATTGTATGAAAAAAAAAAAGTATGAACAAGCTTTTAAAACACAAAAATGTAAAGGGTGACGTATAGTTGCCATGTAACGAGGGTGTTGTTGCCAACCTCATAAATAGTTAATAGCATTGCAACAAAGTTTAGACAAATATAGAATAAAAACTTGTATGAGTTGTACAAAAGTACAAACAAACAAAAAAACATTGATAAGATTTTAAGTATGTTCATCTTATATAATATAATATGAACTCTTTAAAGTATATGGATATACGTATTTTCGACATATAGAATATTTGGGTTAATAGTATGAAACAGTGGTAAACTTATAAAAAAAATATAAACATAACTTATTATTGTTACCAATATAACAATATATATGTATATAAGCAATTCATTAAATTGTAATTAATAACAGTAACATACATATAATTTTTTTTACGTATAATAATAACATATTTGTATTTCTGACAGATAAAAAATAAAGAAAAATATATAAACCTAAAATTTATAGAATGTGTTTTATTTATTACCCATAATAAAAATATGTGTGTCTTTTTATTACATAGAAACATGATTATATTTTTTTTATCCATAATAATAGTGTAATTACTTTTGTCAAAGATTACCACTTGTAAAATTTTTACAAATTCAAGGTTACACATGGCTATTATCGATAGATGAATTAAATCAAAGTGTTACAATGGTTAATAATATAAATATGTTGATATTATTGGTAATAAAGTGTATTAACTATATTGACAGGAAGAGTAAGTACTACCATTTCATTCATGTAATTGTTTGTTATTAACTAGTTTATAATTTGTGAGAATCAGAGTTAACAAATTAATTATATTTTCATAAGCAGAAATTCATAATTATTAATTAATTAATTTAAATAAATTACTATAAGATATTTTATTTAGTTATGTAAAATTATAATTGTTAATTAAAATAAAAATGTGAAATTAATTTTCTAACATGTATTAGAAAGTTTTCATTTGTGAATAAAAGAAAAAAAAAAAGAACGATATAATACATTGAAATGTTAAATTTATTATAAAAATAAAACAACCACAATTAATGAAGTAAACCAAAATTGTTATATAAATTAGATAATTAAGTTTTTCAAATAAACATATATTAAAAAAACAACAAATTACAAATTAAAATTAACAATTAAGTTGTTCAAATAAACATATATTAAGTTGTTCGATATATCAAAGTATGTATTAATGTATCACCGATCTATAAAAATGTATATAAAATGAATAAGTGATTAATCATTACAATATAAAACAGAATGAAAGCCAAACATTATTCCTAGAAAATTGAAGGATTATGACTGTCACACCCCCAAACCAGACGGCGGAAACGTCCGGGGGTGGAGGACTTCAATTGTAATATCACAACACATGCATCATAGTAATCAAAGTACAAACAACCATTGTATCTAAAATGTATAAGTATTTACATGTGTTCAATCATTGTATATTGAACCAAAATATAGTTATACAAAAGAAGATATGACTCAACATAGCTCCATCTTCTCAAAAAGCTCGGGGAGTACATGTGTATTATTTCCATGAGAATACAAGTAATTTGAAAAGAGAGTATCAACATAAAGTTGAGTGAGTGCACAAGTGTTTATGTTTAAAGGATGTCTCTGTATCTTGTATATGTAACTTGTTCCAGAAAATCCTATATTTTCTGTTGTATATGAAAAGTAGTTTTATTCCCATAAAACCGTTCTCTGTGTATTAATGTTTTGTATTTGTATTACTTATGAAAACTTGTAACTGAGAGTGTGCCTGGCTCCACCAGCTGTTGTTGAAAACTGTATTGAATATTTGTATTTTGTATTCTGTAAACTGGTACTTTCGTTTAGTTATTTATACACTAACGTATTGTTAATATCTTTTTAATGAGTTATTATAACCATACTATGACTGATGGCCTGAAACAAACGCTTTGTGGGCGTTTAAACTGGTGATAACAATTGCCACTCATCTAACTGTAGCTAGCAGCCTGAGTGCGGGGTTGTCAATCCCAATATAGATCTACACATACTTGTTTCGATCCCCGGCTGGAGATTCTGGTTATAATGTCAGGACTTTTCCTATGTTGTCTAAATTGAATTAAACAACCTGAATAGAGTGTCTCATAAAAAAGCATAAAAACGTTACATGTATATTAGTTTTGAAAACCCAATCATTCTGAAATAATGATTGACAGTATGTTCTTGAATCAAAACCCAATCATTCTGAAATAATGATTCACAGTATGTTCTTGAATTAGTATTCCAAACATGTATTTGATAAGTGTAAACCTTGATTTGTTCTGTATCAAAACCCTAGTTTCTTGTAAGACTGTGTATTCTAGTGTAACGCCCGTAGATTAGGGCTAGTCAATTTAGAGACGATAAGCATCAAAAATGACTTTTTGATGGAAGATTATTTAGAAGGATTAATCTTAACCAAGTTGTAGTATATGTCACAAGGTTTCCGAAAATATAAAGAACGCCGAAATCCGAGTTATAACGAAGAAGTTATGACATGTCGAAGTTTCGCGACAGAACCGACACGACACAGCGCCACGTAAATAGTGAATTTATGATAGAGCGATATCTAGATTTAGCGATCTAAACGAAAGTCGTAGAATACGTTAAACCGAGAGCGTGCATGAAAAGAACGCCCAAATCTGACTTCGTATGAGGAAGTTATGATTTTTCGAAGTTTCGGCTTAGCAGTGTACAGCCCAAAGTTCGAATATGAGATCGAGCGATATTTCGCCGAAACAATCTAAACGAGAATCGAAGATCTCGTTGATAGTAGTCCAACGGTAGAAAGACAGACGAAAACTGACGTCAGATGAAGGAGTTATAAATTTCTAACGGAGTTTTCCTGTCCCGGCCTACTAAAAATAATATAATAAAAATAAATTCAAAATTAGCCGATGGAGTCTAAACGAGAGTTGTAGAGCATAGTCTCACCTACGCGTCGATATAAAGAACGTCGAAAACGGAGCTCGTATGCGAAAGTTATGAATTTCTGAAGTTTGGGGCGCGAACCCCGATACTGTGTTAGAGTTCACGACGTGAATACAATGTTTACGACGTGAACTCAGTGATTTGACCTTTTAGAGCCTGTCAGACGCAACCTGTGATGACACATGCAGTGACGACTAAGTTCACGACGTGAGAACTTAAAATTCACGACGTGAGAGCTGAAAAATGACCCTATAAATAGAAATCAAGGGTCAGCCGATTTTGGTTGCTCCTCCCTTACTCTCTCACTCCCGATACCCTCTCTAAGCCCTATTTTAACCCCCCCGAAGCCCCAGTATCATCCCGAGACCCGAAGCAAGTCCCGAAGCCCGAAGATCCCGAGAAGAAAAGAGTTTCCGAGCCGAAGCTCTGCCTGCGAGAAGCCCGGTGTGTGAGGATCTTCTAGTTTCACCGAAGAAATACTACTCTTAGAGCCGTAGTGCTGCCCGATCATCTTCTGATCAAGTGAGTGTATAGTCCCTTTCATAAACACGATTTTAATACAAGTATTGTTTGAATGTATTAAGTATACGTTTGGTGTGAGTGTGTAGTTACTTTCTTCTAACACATAAATACGAAGTATTTGCTATGAAATATGTGCTATGTGTTTATATATTATTTGTCTATTTGAAATGGGCATGAAATTGATGTTTTATACAGGTGTTAAATGATTTAAACTGTGTAAGTATTTATATCTACGAAAATGTTGGGTAGAACATGGGTAGATGGGATAGTTGGTGACTATGGAGTTAGCGCCTATTGTATAAACCTTGGCGACGATGTGACTTCGTGCCTATTTGATGAACCTTGGCGACTATGGA